GGTGCAGCGGCTGCGCTCCGTGGCCGGTCCCCTGCGTGCGGGGGGACTTTGCACGCTCATCGGTGGGGGGCGCCGGCGTCCCCAGCTGCGGGCGCCGTCTTGTCACGCGTGTACCTGCACCGCAGCTTGCGCCCAGCTGTGCCGTGCATTTGCAGGCGTGCGCCTCAGCTGTGTGCGTGTCTTAAGTCACTGCAGCTGAGCTGCGCAGTCGCGCGTGCATGCTTTTTTGCTCAGCTTTGCACGGGTCTGTACACATGCTGCTCCTGCTTGTGCACCTGTGTTGTGCGCAGATGTGCTCGCGTTCCACAAGTGCTCATCTGCGATGCACACGTGCTTGCGTGTCCCCCTCTGTGTGCAGCTGGGCTTTTTTTTTGTTTTCCCCTCTGCACATACCCGCTCCTGAGCACGCATGCAGCTGAGCTGCGCTTGCATGTATACCTGGAGAAAGCCAAATTCCCTTCACTTCTGCCTGCCTTCCCTCTGCCCTCCCTGTAATCCCCCAACCCAGACAAACAGAATACCTTCATCATTTATTTCTCAATGCACAGCTCACATACAATGAAGGCTGTGCATTCCCTACATCTTGAAATAACTCTCTGAAATTGGGAGCTCTTAAGATGAGCAAAAAAACGAGCTCATGCGCTTTGTTAGAGAAAATGAGCTAGTGTGGCTGGGATTAAAATATAACTGTTGTTTTTTTAAGTTGTTGTGCTCTGTTTTTTCAGGCGTGTCAGCCCAGTCCTTCCTTCACTGCTTTACACTGGCTAGCTCTGCTTTTAATCTGCAAGTTGCGACTCCTGGGGTAAGTAAAAATGGGGAGTTACTGTGATTTCAGTCTGAAACCAATTGTTATCTCAATTGACAAGAGGGGATTATACTAAATCTGTTCTGAGAGGTGTTTTATTGGCTTTACAGATTAGGGGACTTTTTTCAGTTTGGTTTTCTTCATACTGAACTGAATGTGTGCTTCCTGTATCATGCTTCTGAACTTCTCTGTCCACTATCTGTTACCCAAAAAGAGTGGAGGGAGAACTATTAGAAGAACTACTTCAGTGGGAAAAATGGAAAACTTCAGGTTTTTGAGAGCGAAAGTCTCTCAAAATACCAGATAGTTATCCTTCAAGAAATGTATTAGATGTCTGCGCAGTGATCCTAACCAGTCTCTGAACCGTGTTTTCCCTAGGGGAAGTCAATTGATTTTGTGGATGTGAATGAGAGCAACATGCGCTGGATACAGGACTTCCGTATGAAATCGTATGCGAACCCTGCCAAGTTGGAGTCGATTGATGGTAATGGCTTTACTGTTGGCCAGTGTGTCACCTCCATTCATCAGGGAAACAGATGTTTCTTGGTCTTAGGCCTTTAGGGAAGAAGTGCACAGAAAAGGCATAAAACTTGTGTTTTAAGAGGAAGCCGTGGCAACTGCAGTTGTTTTTTTATTTATCTTGAATTGGTAATTTTCTCTTTTATATATACACATACTATATATATATTCTTTTGTATATATACACACACTATATTGTTGTTTATTTAAAAAATAAATATTTTACTAAAGTAGAAGCTAGCAGACATGGTGGTTTTAAGCTTTGCCTGGGTAAGGATGTCTCATTAAAAGTTTATGTTCTTTGCCCTAAAAGGGACCTTTTTCTCTACTCCATATAGATCCATTTGTTTCTTTAGTTTTTGTTTTATGCAGTTTTTGACTGTTTTACATGGTATTGTCTTAATTTTGTTGAATCTGAAATGGGTTTATGATCAGGCTTTTTTGTATGTTGCTTGTATTATAATGAGTTTATCCTTTCCTCTTCACTAGGTGCTAGATATCATGCGCTGCTGATTCCGAACTGTCCCGGGGCTATAACAGAACTGGAAAGAATGCCTTCAGAGAAATGTGTCTTCTATTAGAAAGTATCCTCTTTATGTAAATGTATATTAAAAAAAAATACCATAGCTTTTCAACACTTGTGTCAGAAGAGGGTTCTCTGCCTTAGTGATACAGAAATGGCGCTCTCCAAGTCAGTAAGGCTCAAGGTGTAGAGCCGCATGTGGAATGTACCAGGATCATCATTAAGGCTGTAGTTAATCAAGACTTGTGTGTGCTTCTTGTTTAGTGTTTGAGGAAAAACCTTACAGCCTAAGATTATAAATGGCGCAGTATAGTTTTATTGGAGGAAGGCAATATGCTGTAACATGAATCTCATTAACACTCATCTGTGTTTTGGCTATTTGAAGATGCTTACAACTACTCAAATATACTTTGATTTTTCTCTAGAGCCTATCTGTGCGATTGGACATGGGGTTGCAGCTTTGTGTTGTGCCACCAATGAGGATAAATCCTGGGTATTTCAGGGATACAGTCTGACAGGGGTAGGTTGAGCTTTCACCTGACTTTTGCTGTTTGGGGGCTTTTTTGCTGTGCGGGAGCCTGTGATTTCAGGTGCTGGTGTTTCTGGTCTTATCCTAGAACTTCCTGCAAACATAAATCATCAGTTTGGTACCCTTGGTTTATGTGCAAGGGGGCCCAACACTGAGTGCATGAAGGGATTGTCTCACTTAGCTGTCATGTGGAGAGTGCTTTTCTTCTGATAGTTCAGTAAACCTTAAACTGAAATTAAAATGCTGGAAATGATTGCTGCAGCTCTTTGGATTCATAGTTGAGGGCTTTTAAGAATTACTTTGTGGTTTCATGAATGCTGGGGGTAAGTTTTATTGCTCAAGGTGCTCTTGCACTTTCCAAGGTAGAGGAAGTTTTAGGAAAAAAGGTTGTTTGTAGAAACTGGCTTGTAATTCAAAAAGTGGGCAGATACTGCTGGTGTTTTATTTAATGTACAGTCATATCTCTGACCTTGCAGACCATTTATATGGCAGTTGTACCTGTGCGCCAAGAAGATCCAAACCTCTATAGTAAATCTTCCAGAGTTGAAAATCTATGTGGAAAATTAAGAAATGAAGTTTATGGGACTCAGAAAAGCTGTCAATGTCCTGATGTCCTTGTATTTGGCATTACAATCAATGATAAAATCTTTTAAATAAGGCATGATGTTGCCTACCTATAGTTGCTATGGAAACTGTAAAATTAGATTTCCTCCTGTGCACATAAAAACTGAACTAAGTACTCTTTAATTTTTCTCTCTTCATTTAAGCTGTTTCCCATGTTCATTCCAAAGCAGAGTATTGTTACTTGGGCTCTGCAAGAGGCACAGCATTTGTGTCCAGATGTTTGTGCCCAACAGCCAAACAGGTCTGCCCTTTCATGAAGTTCATTGCATGCATGCTGTTCAGTGTCCAGCTGATTTGCAGAAATGTCTTGGTGTCATTCTTCCTTTATCTCACTTAAGAATTTTCAGTTTGCTCCCTACAGAAAATCCATAGAAGCTGCTCATGGTCATTTGGCTTTCTGCTTCATTTTGGTTTCATTTCCTGGGAGAATTGTAGGGGAGGCAGAAAAATAAATTGCAGGGAGAAGTAAGCATTGGTTTTGCTTGGCTTTTTCCATAAAAAGCAAGACAGACTTACTTCCTTTTGATCTTTTTCAGCCCTCTGTGTACGAACTAGTAAGGCAGCCTAATTTTGCCAGTTTGTCCATTATTGTGGAAGACTTCGTGAAAGATTCTGGAGCTACGTTTAGCGGTATGTCACTCTCTTGTTGTCTGGGACTTCATGTTTCATGGCTGAATTTTGGAAATGAATGTTTGTGTGCCAGTCTTACACAGCTGAACAGGACTCTGACGGGATACCTTATCTTGCATTCCCATTTTGTGGATATAAACAAATACCCTAGTGGATTAGAAATTAGTGTGTTAAGAATAAATTCCATGAAAAACCGCGTGTGGAGTTGGGCAGTACAGTACACTGATCTCTGTGGTTGTCCACACATACTCTTTTATAAACAAATACCCTAGTGGATTAGAAATTAGTGTTAAGAATAAATTCCATGAAAAACCGTGTGTGGAGTTGGGCAGTACAGTACGCTGATCTCTGTGGTTGTCCACACATACTCTTTTGCCTCGAGGGAAACATGGGGTCACTTGTCTTGCTGTGACGGAAACAGTTGTACTGCAGGGAAGGGTGTGAGCCCACCTGGAGATGCACAGCCTGTACCTGCAAGGGAATGTCTGCAGGGAGCATGTGCTCCGTTGGGAGAGGTTAAGCTCTGGATTTTGGGGTTGTCTTTTCTTCAAGCAAATGCTTTGTTATTTAAAGCTGGAAGCGCTATACTGAATGGCTTTGGTTGCTCTGATAATAGTTGTCTTTTGCCATCAAGTATTTTACTTGTAACTAGATCTGGTTTTGTAGTATTTTCCTGTTTTGTTACAAGTGATTTCATTAGTTAGTCAAAATGTAGAAGCTTGACTTTTGAACTGCAAAATCTGAAGTCCTGCTCTGTGTGAGCAATTAAATCCATTAAAGGAAAAAAATGTCACTTTTCCTAGATTATTTCTGGATGTGCAGTGAAAAGTGCAATTTTCTTTTCCGTTCTGCTTTCTTGCAATACTGAAGAGCTAGAGGGAGAATTAAATGATAAGCCATAAATGGCTCTATTCAGTCTGCTGTTCTATTAGGTAATTTTTTTAGAATCTGTCCTTAAAGAGAACAAAGCGATGCCTGTAGTATTTAAGTCATCCTTTATTTAACAGAATAGTGCCGCCCCTTGGGCTGGTACAGTTTGAAGTGGCCAGATTAGAGATTACACACAAGGCATGGGTAGGAAACAGAGCCAGGCGCCTAATGCCAGGGATCTATTTTTCACTAAGAAAAAATGCCACTGTCTTATCAAATTGCTGTATATTCTTTGCTTAATCCTCTCCCATCCGTGCTGCTGTCAGCCTGGTTGTGTGTTTAAATGGCACCCTGATGCTTTTACAATGAGCCGCTGCTGCCACCTTCTGCATAATGGGTTCAGTACTGATGGTGTAAAAGCTGGTGTCTCGGTGGTGCCTGTTACGTTGTGTGTGCTTGCTTGCAGTGGCACTGACAAATTAAGCAAGAAGAAGAAAAAAGCATGTGTGGTTTAAAGGCACTTAGCCTGTATTTAGACAGTCAGTGGCTGGGAGAGGGAGAAGAATGTAAGAGTTGTTAATTACTGACAAAATAATGGTTCTATCTAGAATGAGGTGACTTAAAAATACTGGTTGGAGTACTGAACAATTGCTGGCAGGTATTAACATGTCATGCTATTATAATGGGCCAGAAAATAAATATTTTCCTGAAGGCTCTTTGTAGCATGGTGATTGCAACTTTGATGTCTTACATAAGAAGAGTTTATATTGTATTGCAGGGTAATTACAACTTTCAAATATATACTTTGAGGTTTTTTATCATGAAAGTCTCTTGATATAGGCACTTTACCTCTCTGGTGTTAATTGAATCAAGGGACCAGTCCTGCTGTCCTTTCAGAGAAGGAGTTTCTAGTGAAATTGTTTCACAACTGGGGGCTCAAGATTGTCCTCTCAGGGGGATTATAGCTCAGCATGTGAGTCATCCAGCAGGTCTGTCTGGTCAAAATAGTTACCTTCTGTGTTAGCTCTCAGAGGTGTGATAGTGGAAGTGCAGCAGTGCCCACTAACACAACGCTTGTTGCTTTTTCTCCTTTTTGTAGCCAGCAATCCGGATGCTGTGCATGTTGTGCTGGACAGGCACCTGGTGACGGGACAGAATGAGAATTCCACTCTTCCTGCAGTCCAGAATCTTCTTCTTCTTTGCAATGTCAGGTGAGCCAGCATGGGAGAGAAGAATTAGGAACAGGCAGTGGTGAGCATCTTTTAGTTTCAGGAATATTGTCCCCCAAAAGAATTCTTTTGCCTAGGTTAACTGCTGAAGCGCATGTCATCTTTGTTTATCTGGCTATTCAGTTGGTTATGTCTTCTGGTAAAAAGCATCTGTGATTATTAAAAAAAAAAGGTAAAACAGGTTGGGAAACGCACAGCTATCTATCAGGACTAGTAAAGTCAAATGCAGAACAGGCTTCACTAAGCATGTCTGTTAAGACAAACATCTCTTATGTGTTGTTCTTTGTGCTTTGGCAAGTTAGCATTTAGTCAACTATGTTTTTAGGATTCTGGGAATGAACAGATCTAATTTCTTTGGTAATGGCCTGGCCATTTGACTGTCTTCCATCTTGTCAGATAGAACACCACTTACAAATAACAACTAAAATCTTCTCTTGTTCAGGTGAATGTGTGTTACGAGTCCTTTCCTGGCTGTGGACTAACAGGTCGTGTCATGTTTGGATGTGTTTCATTCGGCAGGAAATGAAGGAACAGGTCTCTTTGCAAATAGGATGGACGAAGAGCCAACAGGCTAAGGATTTTCTTGTCTGTTAACTGGATATAACAGCCCGCTAAATTTCTGTCCTGGACTATGAAGTGACTGTGAAGTGGCAATGTCAGGTTTTGCATATACAGAATGGATGAAAGTTGGGAATAAGAACTTTGAAGTGCGTCATGCTTCAGAAGCAACTATGAAACCACCTTGTGTTTTTGTTGCTACATCTTTTTTTACTGCTGCTCTCTAGACGCTTAATTTACAGATGTGGTGAGCTGTCTTTTAAAGAAAAAGAAAAGCTGGTGCTATGGATGCAAATAGCTGAAGACCTTGCTCTAGGTTGACATTATACTGATTGTTAGTAACTGCCCCAAAGAGCCCTTGGAACTCTGTGAACCATCTGGTGTTTGTGTCTCAAATATCAAAATCTACACCTGGAGCTTCATTGCAATGCAATTTCAGACATGTTCTCGCCTTTCTTTTGGTAGGTCACAAAGTTACTGTCTGAATTGTGAAAGTGTCTGGGACGCTTGGATGTACTTGGAGTAGGATGGAAAACTTAGCTACCCTCTGAATAAAGCAGAACTGGTTCTTTGAAGGCAGCTCCCTGTGGTGATACTCTTAGCACAACATGCCCTTGTTTTCTTCCTTGCCTGTTCACACTATTGGACTTCTGTTTAAAAAGTTTGCTCAGCTGTTTTTAAATGGTCTTCTAACTGGTTATTTGTTCTCCTTTGTGGTGCTTTTGTTATGAGTTTTGTTCTGTTTGAAATGTTTGAAATATTTCTCTCTGGCAAGTACATTGCGGTTGTCTCTTGGTGGAATTTTGTGGACAAAGAAAAAAAATGCAGGCAGCTAATGTGGATCATGTCTTCTGAGGAACCAGTGTGAGATGAAATCTGGCCACCTTTCCTTTTGAGCAGCAGATGTGGCTTGAAGTTGGGCATGGAAAGGAATAATCCGGCAGTATTTTTCACTGTTGCAGGCTCAAACATACTAAATCTGTGGGAAAGTAGACAGATCAACATTTTTTCTTCACTCTTGGAACAGAGGGCAACATTTCTGCAGTGTTTGGTGAAGGAAAGGACTCTTGTGGTTGCATTTTTTTTCTTAACAGGATAATATGATATATTGGTTATAACCAGTCATCAAGCAGCGTAATTTTATGCCTTTTTCTGTAGAAATTCAGGTTTTTTTAGTTCTATCTCAAGAATTCAGTGTGATTTCTGAAAGATAATCTGCTATGGGAATTTGTTGGGTTTTCTATATTTTGGAGCCCAGTGTACAGATTTTTGGCTTTGATAGAAATTAGAATTTGAAACAAAAATTGGGCTTTGGTAGAAATTAAACTATCAAATAGCTTTTATAGCTTAAATCCTCATTCCTGTCAAGTTATCTTGGGGATTTGTTGATCTCTGTCACCATCGGGGTGTACTTTCCATCTGGATTTCTTGTAGGCTGTCTGCTGAAATGATGTGAAAAGTTTTTGTACTTATACTGCAGGAGTATTTGGAATTGAGGTCACGTTATGTTGACTGCTCTGCACCTACAGCAAAGAGACATGCTCTGCCACCAAAAAGTTTATTTAAATAGAGAAGGTAAAACTTCAGGCCCTAGACTCCACTGATTGCCTGAGCAGGGAACTTAGTGGGGCTGGAGTCAGGTAATAGGGGTCCTGGAGGAGGTGGGGGCAATTTATGTGGTTTCTGAGGTGAGTGAGCTTTGCTGCACCTGAGCTAATTCCTGACTGCAGCTGCAAAGCAAAGTCTTGTTTTTGAAGTGGGAATTTGAGAGGCTACAAGTCTATATTACATTTGGGACTGTGCTTCCATGAGATTCTGTCAAAATCGCTAGACCTTTTGTTGCCTGCCTGTAAAAATAGAATATTGCAGTCTACCCTGTGTCCTGTTTTCATTCCTTATTTGTGTATCTAAAGTTCTGTCCAGGCTCGTTAAGCTGCCAGGTGAACAAACTGTTCAGACCACTACAGGCTTTGATCAATTCTCTGTTTTATTTTCCTTGTTTTGTGGCAGCCAGGACCTGTTGGAACTGCTTGGTGCCTGGGTCAGGAAGTATACTGATGTACACTGCCTTCAGATTTTTGTTCTTCCCATATGGGAGCAGATAAAGAGGAGTTCCTGTGTGCATCTTCATTCTTTCACCTCACGTGTCTGCTTCTATCTCCTCAGTAATCTGAGCCATCCCTGGTGTTGGTTTGCTCTTGCAAAATAGAGGGAAAATTGCATGACCCAGTAGAAAGTCGCTGGAGAGGTGGTGTGCAAGTGTGTGTGCCTACAGCAGTCTTGATGAGGTTGAGGAGAGAAGGATGCTGGTTGCATGGATGTGGCCTAACTTCTAGCAGGAAAGCAAAATGATTTTGGGAGAACAACCCCCTCTCTCATGCAGATGGGGGTGAGCGTTGTGCCATCTTTAAACATTACACTGGCAAATTGTGAGCAAATAGTGATGATAGCTCTCAAGTTCTTGTACAGTATGATCAATTCTAGCCAAGGATCAGAAAAAATTGTTCTAAAACACGAGAAGGTTAAAGTAGAAAATATGCGAAGCTGTTTAATGTCATGCCAGATACATTCAGGAAAGTTTTATTCTGTTTATTTGGGGTGTGTGTGTTAAGTCAGTAGATTAAAATGTATAGGCAGTATCCATAATTTTTGCTCATTATCATTTGACTGCTTTACCATGTGCATACAGAATTAATTGCACTCTTAGTCTGCTTCATCAAGAACGATTATAGAGAGTTGATGACCATGATAAGGTTTTATTTACTTCATTCTGGAAAAATTTTTGATGGAGCAGTAAGACTCTCGACTCTACAAAAAATTTCAACTGTGCATCAGGCTATTTATTTTGAAATTCATTAAAAGCAGCAGGGTTGAAGTACAGGCTCCCAAGGCAACAGCATGTCTATAGTTTGGGGTATTGTCATGTACTCCCCCACTTTAGTTCCATGTTAACTTTGTTCTACAGATGTAACACTTGATATTTGTTGTTATTTTTCTTTTGCTTAAAAGCTACCTATATCAACTAAAATCATGAAGTGAGATTACAGAGAGAATAATGATTTTTTGATAAGTCTTGCATTTTACACCTCTGAAGAATTTGAATACCTCATTTTGTATCTTCTGTACCTTGTGTGCTGTGCTTCCTTCCTGGTCAAACTGAGAGGGCCAGTGAAGTATTGTGTCCCAGGCATCTGAGCAGCGATATTTCTCTTGAGTTTGTTTTCCAGCACTTGACTTCAAATGTCATGCCTTAAAATGGCATGTGTTCTCCTCAGTGGTTATAAGAATATAGCATGCTCAATGCACTCAGCAGCCCAATTTTAAATACTACTCTTACCCAATTACACATAACAAGACTGTGGCAAATAACAGCAGCTGGGGTTTTTGGGGACCGTTAGCATAGATGAGAAATGTTGCTTCTTATTGCCTTGTGCCTGTTGACCTTTATCAGTGTCTTAGCTCATGGTATAGTTAGTGTTGTCCCTGCTTCACCACCATGCATCTTTGGCTTAAAGTTAATTTGAATGTAAAGATACTTGTTCATGGTCCATCCAGTGATGTGGGTTAGAAATCATGTATAACTGACTTGAACTGGTAAGAAATCAGCTGGAGGCAATATCAGGAGCCTTCAAAAGGTGCCAGTTCTTGACATATTCAGCAGTGTTCTGCAATGTGATGGTTTTCCCCTCTACCCGGCTTGAGTGTCACAATTTGAACACTGCAGGGAGGATGAGCTTTTGGCAGTGCTTGCAAATGCCTGGTGTTTCACTGTCTTTATGATCAGTTCTTTATGGAAGATTCTGGCATTTAAACCACATGACAGGCCCTTTTGTCCCAAAGCCAGAAACTGCTTCTCAAACAAATTGGAAGCTTCAAATTCTGGAGATTTTCAACCCACAAAAATCCTGATTGTTTCACTGTTGTGCTCTGGAGTGCTTGGTGCTTGGGTCCTAGGGATGTTGTCAGCCAGGCTTATTTCCTTAGAAATCTGTCTGTTCCTATTAACATCCATCTGCTGATATATTTTTTTTGGGAACTACACACAGTGTTACAGCTTGTCTGGGCTTAATGCATGTGAGTGTATTCTATGTTTTCCTCTATTCTTATGGGCAGGCATTGAAGTATCTGTTAGAAGCATTGGAGTGCCTCTGCAATACATGGAGCAGAAACACTTGTGGGATGAATTCAAAGGGTCAGGGGGCTTTCTCAGATGATTCAGCCGTAGGATAATCTTTACAGCCGTTGGCTCTCAGCTGTAAAGAAACATTCCTGTATTGTACCCCCACAAAGGATTTCTTCAACAAGACTACAACACTCATCACTGCATGCCAGCACCCACTCACCACTGAAGCTGTGTATTTGGCCCTGCAGGGAAGAAAGGAAAGGTAGAGAACATCTTTAAGGTAATAGGAGCCTTTACTGGC